AAATGAAAGATGACTCTGAAGGCTGACCGACTAATAACTAATAACAGTATACAAGAAGTTATTTAACTCTTAAGTTTTATCAATTAAAATAAGCAGAAAAACGCTTTCTGAGAACCAATGGAGTAGACATGAGCCTTTACCTAACTGTGAAGTACTGCACTGTAGCTTTAGGCACTTTATGGCACTTGCTCTTAGAGAATTAGGATATAAAAATGAGTTCGTGTTTACAACCACTAAAGCAGCAAAATATCAAATAAGCACCCCAGAATTTGAGGTTGTGAAGAGTGTATATATTCTCTGAGGACTGAAAGATAGTTTACCAGTGTGGGAAAAGTTAGGACATCTCTTCTGAATAAGACTGAAGCAAACACAATCCTAACCAACACACCAGTGTCTTTTGCATGAGATGAAATTCTTGTGGATATGTTCTGCTTGTTTAGGGATAATCTAATCTTAAACTAGTAAGATGTCAGATTTCCTGCCACTAAGAGTGGAATGTATGAATAAACGAATTCACTGGCATGACCAGACAAAGCAGTCAAGGGACAACTGTGTTGAAATAAGGTAAAAATGTAGTGCTTACATATGTAAGTATATATACATGTTCACTTAGGCATGCGCTCAAGTACACAAATGCATTTTCAAATGTGTGTACATACATGAAGACATGTACACATGCACATAATGCATTAAATATGTGAAAGGTCTTTGCTCAGGAAAATGAATTTGAAATTTTTATTCACTTTTACACTGACGTGAATGAAGTAACTAATGGTAAATCTTAGGTACAGCACTGGACGAGAAGGGTCAGGTAAAGACAGCAAGGAAGGCTAAAGCAGAGATGCGTCCATTTAGCTCCTGAAGAATTCTTGAAGGATCCCCTTGTCATTCAGTGAAGTTAGTTAGTCCTGTCTAGTCCCTTCACCTGTTCCAGTTCGGGTATGACACAGTTTAGGAGCACTTCTGTGTCCCTATGGCCTCTTTTCAAAGACACCTTCTGAGCTTTGCCTGAAGATGCTGGTTCCTGACACTCTGAGTCTCAGAGTTCTGAGTTTCTCTGTTTTAAATGTGTATTTGTTAGAAAATGCTCTTCCTTTGAGAAAGATTTATAGCTCTGGGGGCTTTCGGTACAAGCATCCTTGGTCAGCCGTGCTGACCACAGAATATAACTAGCATTAATGTACTTGGTGTTGAGTAACATGCCAGGAGAACAGAAGTAAGGACTTCCTGTGGCCTTCAAGCTAGACTCGTTTGCTCAGCCCCAAGCAATGGGAAACATTGAGTAACTCTTCCTTCGTGTCTCTACCTGCATGGTAAAAGTGTTCACAGTTGGCTGGGTTTCTCTTTTTCTCTGAGAGGTAGTAATATTTGTAAGCCTTGAAACACATACAAATCTAGGCACACATATTGGGAGTGTGCATGCCTAGACATTTTTTTTTTTTTGCTATTGCAGAAAAAAAATCGTACAAACCTGAGGCTGCACCGAACTCTCCTATACTTTGATGTGGTTAAAGGAAGTCCTGTTCTTACTGCTCTGACCTTTCCCATTTATCTAAAATCAATGGTCAGCCACCACCGAAACAATCACTATTCTGCTAGACATCTTTGAGATGACCTAGAAGCTCCTAGGTCACCACCTTGGGGTTTCATGCAACATATGAGGCACTGCATTTTGCACTCAACTTGCCAGTGGAACTTGTGCTTCAATCAGGCCAAATCTGACTAAGCAGTTTGCTCTAATAGGCCGGCCCTGATAATCGCTGGTCCAAGCTCTTCTGGCGGACTTTCCTCGTCACTTTCTTTTTGTTACTCTTAAAATCAAATACCACCATACATAAAATTATCAACATGAATTGAACCAGGAGGCCTGTCCTGCAATATGGAAATCTAGCCTTTAAATGTCTCCATGTGTGAGGTTTGGAAAACAGCATTAGAATCACTGTGGCATCAGTCTCGGCTGACATCACACAGGTCCTTCCAGAAATTCTTGTATGGAATCTGGTTTTTTATCTGTTTTAATTGGACTGTGCCCCATTACACATTTAGCAGACATTTAGTTCTCATATACTACCCCAATGCAGTGTCCATGAGTCAGGCAGATTTGGGCTCAAATTCTTACTTGGTAATTCTCTGACCTAAGAAGGATCCCCCATAACTAGAGGAAGGAATGGGACATTCAGATGGTCGCCAGAGTTGTGTGAACAGCTCACATAGCATCTGCATAGCTCCCACCAGAGACCTTCTGCCATTCCTAAAGAGACTTTCTATCATTCCTAAAGAGTTTCTCCTCAGGTTGCTCTCAGCTAGGCTCTCCCAATTACAAGGAAGCTGGACTCAGCTAGTTCCTTCTGTCAAGAAACACCTGTGGCTCTGTGATCCTAACAATGTGATCTCCAACATCTCAAGTTCCCTGAATTTAGGGCAAGAGTGAAAATGACAGATCATTTGGTTCTGATACAAGTTTCCTTAGAAAGTGGGATCAGAGGTGAAATTAAGAGTTTATTATCATGCACAGATATCAGTCTAGGATCCTTCTCAATAGTGTAGTTTTCTATGCTTGCTGACAGCTTTCTCAGGACTTGGTGCCTAAACTGGGAGATCTCTTCAAACAGTGACAGCTGGTGGTCCTACTAAAGTTTCCCTGCATATGACAGGACTCCCAGAAAAAAACAGGGAAGGGGAGACTGCGCTCACTAAGCAGCTGTGTGAGCTTGAAGCCTGAGTCCTTCCTAGGAGACAGGAAGGCTGAACTCTAATTTCAATCATGACTGTTAGTCTGGATAAGCAGGTTCTGGCTTGCCTTCCCAGATGGCCACTTGGATTGTCTTTTAGTACCTTGTATGTGCTTGGAGTGGGACTTAAATGGGAGCACTTGGGGCCCCTAGATGTACTCTCCCTTTCTGAGCATTGACACTACAATCCTGACTTGCTAAGCAGGTTGAGAAGACAGACTTCCAAAGTCAGGAGATGCTGTCCTGACTGGCCCCAGCATGCAGATAGAGTATGGCTTATTCTGGGGTATATCTGAGGGATAGCCAGTTTCACTGAGAGGAGAAGCACTACACAGTTTGTCACATAGACTCTTTTTATTCTCTGCCTGTTAGAAAAGTGGAGTCTCAATAAAAGCCAAAGGAAGCATGTAATCTGTGACCAACAACAAACTGCATATAGATTGTTCTGAGGCTTCACAGGTGAGTGCTCTGCTTTTTCTTTAGTGCAGACTTCATAGCTCTGGAAAATGTTATCTCTGTGTAGAGAACTAAAAATCTAAATATGATTTTGACTTTAAGGTCTATTTGCAGTTCAGGCAGACTACCACCAAATAGAAACCATGAACTAAATGGTTCATATAAATTCATAAATCAGATTCCTAACATCACTCACTACTCTTTCCTTATCCTGCTTTCTTTCATTCTATACTCTCTCCCTTCATTTCTATCATTTACCTACTCTATCCTTCTGTCCATCATCTCTTTCCTTCTGCCCCCTAATAGAATGGGAGGGAGGGAGTTTAGTTAGACTCTTCAATATACACAGGTGAGTGAATTTGGTCATTGTCATCATTGATAGCCTGGGAAAGTCACTTGCACTCAAGAGCAATGTTGTTTTCATACCACAAAAGTGGGAATCAGGTATTTGAGATTAATCAAATCTGAAATTTCCACTACTTGGAAGGGGTCCTAACTAAGATCAAGTTGAGTACCCCACCAGGTCTACTGTAGCCAGGGTCCGATTCTCATTTTCTAAACAAAAATAACTCTATTTTCATTTAAAGATCATTATGTATGTGCATATGTATATTTGCATGCATGAATTTATGTGTACCACCTGTGTGCATGTGCCTGTAGAGGCCAGAAGAGGGCACTGGATCCCTGGAACTGGTGATTGTGAGCAGCCAAGTGGATGGTGGGAACCAAACTTGGGTTCTTTGCAAGAGCAATAAGCACCTTAAATGCTGGGCAATCTATTCTCACTTAAATGTGACTGTTATTAGTGGTTTAATACTCTTCCCTTCAGAAAGCAATTCTAGTTTTAGTGATAAGCTCCAAGTAGATAGCAGAAACATGACAATCTCTTGCAGAAGCTGAAGTATGATAGTATTGAACAGCAGCACATTTCTTGGTGCCCATGTCTCATTCTCACCAACTGCTGCATGCTATGTCCAAGACCAAGGCTCTGAGCTCCTGGCTGACACATTTGATTTTCTCGACATTTACATCCTAGAACAAGTATCTATTAAATAAATATATTTAATTCATTACTTAACATGGAAATCTTAAATTCACAACTATCGTGCATAATTTGCTTCTCCTATTGAATTTTCCAATGGATGGCTGAATGGTAAACCCTCAATGCCTGAAGAAGTAAAAAGTCAGTGATATTCAAACTGAAGGGGCATCATACCATATACTGTTTCTGAGTAGTCCCAATAGGGCATTTCTACACCACCCAAGGGCTTTGATTTTCATGGAAACACAAAATCCCATGCCTTTATTATCCTCAAAAATGCCTGCCTCTGGACACTTGTCCAGTGTGGGCATAAGTCACTGAAAGACTGAAAAGGAATCTGGCCTGGCTTGGTCAGTGCAGCAAGAGACCAGACCTCCTCACCTGCCTCACCCTCAGACCCAATGATGTCAGGCGGATGGGGAAAAAACCTGAAATAAGCACAGTTGCCTCCCCTGGGTGAGCTACTGATAAAGGTACAAACAGTATGTTCACTTTATTTTAGTGCTCATTTTTCAGTGATAGATGCTATTACAAAAATATAAACTGAAATATTTTAAGCAAAAGAATAGTAAAATATTTGAAGAAAAAGGGCTGAATATTCTATACTGTTTTTATGCAGCCATCTCCAGGAGAGTTGGAGACCTCAGGCACCATGCAACTCCCTTAAGCAAGTCTTGAAAGGCTTTCCTTGTTTCCACTAACGATCTGATGAGGAAAGGGAAAAGACACAGTCAGAAGGAATCACAGTAAACACACTCTCACTTCGGGGTTGTTTACTCTGTTCAAAGTCACAAGTCAAGGTCAACTAATATGAATACTTTATTTCTTTAACATAGAACATAAAATATTGCACTCCACATATAAGTAGTGTACAAAAACTCTGTTTACAAACTGCCATAATAACTGTCTGGCCTAGTGTTTTATGGCAGCACCAAACACAGCAGTGTGATGAACTCTGAACCACTGGAAAGAGCAGAGTCCACTGAAGCCTCCTTTTCTTCCACTGCCAAAGAGTCATGTATATAAAGATTCAAACACAGAATGAAGACATTTCCAGACACATCAATGTCTTTCAGTCTGGGCACTGCTAATCTATTATCATACATCAGTGAAAAAGGTCATAGTCAAGCAATTGTTCTTGGTTTACAATCGTCTTTATTCATTCTAATCACATTATTTATGTTATTCTTTGCAGCAATTAAAAAGGATCCTAGTACCTTGTTATCCATACTCAGAATCTAGAGTTTACTTAATCCTATAGAAATAAAATATAAACCCCATGTACACAGAGATACTGATGGATTTTTTTTTCAGTCACCAAGCAAACTGAGGTAATTTGGGTTTATAAAAAGACATCACTCCTAACTACATACAGAAAGAAGCTGAGACAGGGATCTGAAGAGAATTATATTGCTTATTTACATTCCTTAATGCCCTGCTACCCAGTTCTTCATACCTGCTTCCCACATTGTCTTCCCAAACTTACTTCACCTGAATGTTTCTTTTCCCCATAGTACACTTCCACCGTACTTCCATGATTCTAAAAGACCTTAATAGCTGCAAATGGCAGTTGGTTTGTTTTAATGTTTATTATCTATAAGAATGGAGAGTCTGACCTGTTTTGACCTGGGAAAGCACAAAAGAATTTTTAAAGATTTATTTTATTTTAATTATGGGAAGGGGTATGTACATGTGAGTACAAGTTCCTTCTGGGACCAGAAGAGGGTGTCAGATCCCCTAGAGTTGGAGTTACTGGCAGTTGGGAGCTGCCAAACATGGATGCTGGGAACCAAGTTCAAGTTCTCTGCAAGAACATTACAGGGTCTTAACTGCTGAGTCATTTCTCCAGCCCCTAAAAGTCTTCAGTCATTCACAAATAAACCTAATGGGGTATCTGAAAAGAATAAATTGCACATATTAAAGATCCTTTAAAAACTGTTCTCATCTTTGACATCTTTTTAAATTAAGCACAATATGGTGACAGACCAAACAGAAGCACTGGCAGGGTGGCACCAGGGCACACTTCCAGAGCAGGAAACCTGCAGTCTTGAGAGGCAAATCCTTCAGGCAACAAAGCCCCAAGTACGGTCATCAAGGACTAATTTGAAAACAAGCCTCAGAGGGCTGAGAACTTGGCAAAATGGCAAGCACTCCACTTCCAGACAAAAGATTCAATTAAACACTATGCACACACACAAAAAAAGACAAGTGAGAAAATTATCTAAAACTGAACTGATAAAAAGAAAGCCATGTAAAAATAAAGGAAAATCATTTGATTATTAACAACTATAAAAATAAATATGTACATAACTCAAAAACCTACTCTTACAATAAAAGTTGCAAACAATATACTTTTAAACTAATATGGAAATATTTCAAAAATGGAAGGATTTATTTATGTTATCATTGAGAAATCTCTTCCCATACTCTTCCCTCATATAATTTTGTGCTTAAAGAGATATATTTTGATAACATATAGTAAACTTTGAATGAATTGACTGGATGATACTTTTAAGTTGTCATCCACACAAAATTTCTCTTGGAAGTGTCTAAATCTGAAATTTCTTTACTGTAGGTATCACAGACAAGTTCAGAACCAAGATCCCAGTACCTTGTTACTCATACTCAGAACCTAGAGCCTCTCAAACTCCAGAGGCAGTCCTTGCTTCAAAACACATCCTTTGCAGATGAATGAACTGATACCAAATCTGGGTAATTCCATGGTATATGAAGTTAGAACCAGACCTCAGGCCAGGGAAGTGTTCCTCCTCATATGGACCCATTCTGTGTGAACCAGTTCTATCCTCTTCAGAAGGTGAGTTGAGGGCAGTATAGAGCATGTTCTATTGGGAAAACTGCTATAGAACTGACAGAAGGACTTAAAGAATCCTGACCCAGTCTCGAGAAACAGTGCAGGTACAGTGACAGGGTTCACTTAGCAGGAACTCAATTCTCACAAATCTTTCAATAGGTACTTCACATACCTACAGCCCAGCAGTTAGTAACATCAACAAAATGATCTTGTAGTCCTCAAGTGGTTTTAAACGTGCTGATTCATTACAAAAGAATATCAGTTGTATAGTATGGGAATAACTGCAGTTTACTTGTAGTGAGGCTTGGAAACTGGTATAAGTGTTAGGTACATATGAGTATCTCTTAATGATAGCACTTAAATAGAATACCTCTTTTGCTTACAGAACTTTAAATGGCATATATTACTTGAAAATAGAATGCTATCGAATTCATGCTTGATTTCATGCTTTTCTTTAAAAAAGTCAGTTTACATATTGAAAAATGTATCACATAACCTGTCAGAAAGTCAGAAAAAATGCCCTGAAAATATTTCCCAATAGCTTTCCTTTCTTCAGCTGCCCTGTGAGATGCACTCTTACAAGGAGACTGTCTCTTGGAGCCTCTACTATCTGCAGTGTTTGAGTTTGCCCTCCATCTCCTCCATGGTGCTTCACACCTGCTGAAATTCTGTAAACCTTGTCAGTAGAATGCATCATTCCTAGGAAAGCAGCAATTATGTATCACTGGAGTGCACTGCACACATGGCCCTGGAGTCCCAGTCACCAACGATTTAAGAGTCCCCCTCATTGTCGGGAAAGTTTACTTCCTGTAGAGAAAAAAAGAAAAGAACCAAGACTTAATTCTACTCTGCTATAAAATGCACAGCAAGAACAGCCTCATCTGTCTTTGGTTTTATGACATCTCTACATTTCAAAAAATTTTTGTGTTTTAAATTCTGGAAAAAAAAAGATTATTAAAGAAAGCTTTCATCTCCCTTCTCTGACAGAACAAATATCTCTGCAAGTTTTTTTTCCTGGACATTTGAAATTTCTCTTTTCTTCCGTAACTCATGGGATAAAATGTTGACAAGGCTAGTGCTAACTTTCCTAGGGATGGACAACTAAGATGAAAACAAGGTAGGGTGTCTAATGGAACATTTGAGGCAAGCAGAGTCCTCCCTTTCCAAATACTAATATCTTCAAGAGGCCCAGGTGCTACCCAGGAAGCAGGGAAGGGTGACCTTAGGGCCCCTAGGCCACTTGTTTGCTTACAATCTGATTCAGGAGCGAACTGCAGGGGTCAGATTAAGAACACAGCAGGGCTGCTGGGCCCATGTGCTCTCTCCATCCATTGTGTCTTCCAAAGGTGTGGCACAAAGGGCTTCCTCAGGTACCCTTTCTTTACAAAGGGGAAATGTGGAGGTGGCTGTGAAGATCTGAAATGTTTGTCTTGAAGTTAAGCAATGTTTATCACTAACCCAAAAGTTAAGCTATTACTTTATGCCAATATTAGAATCAGTAATTTACATAATCTATACAAAAACAAATTCAGAAAAAACTACATTTTGGCAAGGACTCAATTTGATGAGTTGATGGAGACAATGATGACTGAAAAGCAGAAAATGGAAAGCCAATTTTCATGAATTATACTTTGGAAAACTACTAAAATTGTCCATGCATGACTGTCTACTTATGTGTCTCTAGGGGGCAGTGTGCAGATTTTATGATCTGCATGCATATTTTCAATTTTGACTTGAAAACATTTTTACTCCACAGGGTAATAAAACATAAACTTGTTTTTATTCCTGTACTTTATTTTTATTATTTATAAATCTCTGTCTACCAAGGAAACAAAATCTTAAATGTCATTTATATTCTTTCATTTACAAATCCCACCTTTATTTATCTCAAATATTTTGTCATTTTCATAAAATCCTATTTCAACACAAATGACCTGGTAAACTGGAAAAGAGGCAGAGCTTGAATATCTGTTTCTGTACCTTACAGGTATCATGGGAATGATGATAGAACTGGTAACTGTGGGTATCAGGGGACACCACACCACCCACACGTGCTCTTTTCAGAGGGCAGTGTTTATAGAGTCAGCAATGGGGCTGTGATCTCGAACAAGTACCAACCCAGAGAGCTGGAGAATGCCCAGGAATGTCACTTCCTACTTACAACATTCCAGATATCCCTGCAGTGTCTAAATAGCACAGACTGCCTTACGGATTAATGAAAGTAAGTTTGTAAGGTAAACTTCATTGAAGACTGCCAGCACCATCTGAAGCCTTGAAAGGATATGGGTGGCTGTCCTCTCCCCTGAGCAACAGTGTGAAACAGTTTAGAAGGCAGGTGATGGTCCTCCCAGTAAGAATAAACTGCATGAACGAATGGGGTGATAAAAGCCAGTGAACATGTCCCTATCTGCTCTTAGTTCCCCACGCTTACCTTCACTCTCCCTTTTGCTTCCCTCTGTCACTAGGTGAAAGCTGTCACAGGTTAACTAGTCTTCTTACAGTTTTTGTATGTTCAAATCTAAAAGGGCTTTAGAAAGGTCACTCTGTACACTGCATCCTAAATTCTCTTGTAGGGTACTACTTAGACATTGGAGCACTAGAGATAGGCATGAATCTGGAGGGCTCAGAGGGGGCTGCCTTTATTTCTAAGCTGTCAGGTCTTATTTCAGCTTAGCTGTATGTCATCTTGTTGCCTCACAATTGCTTCTACCCCAATTCTACCTACTGGCCATTCACAAATTTCCTTGCTCATCAGTCTAATGTTTTCTTCCCTTGTGTTTCACTCTGAGAACATAAATATACAGATTGTTGACTACAGGGAAAATAAAATGAGATCAAATACCCTCTCTCTATCTCCCTTCCTTTTACAGACAAAGCAGGCCAGGCCTAATGTATAAGCTATGTGTGCATGGGAGACAGGCCCTTTGCGGCTTCCTCTCTATGTGCCTACTCCTCAAATATGCCCTGTTCTGTGCCACCGTGTCCACACCAGCACCACGATATACCCTTGCCTTCATTCATACATCTCAGATGCAGTTTGAAAAATACAAATTAATGTGGGTTTTTGTTGCTGTTATCTCTGTTGTTACTGCCTATACATATATTCTTTGGAGACCTGTACTAGTGTAATACAAAAGTCTTTAATAAATTATAAGGAGGAACTTAAGCGGTGAGCCTTCTGGATTCAGGAAAAATGTTGAATTCTTCTCTCCTTGGTATTTTTACATCTGTACGATGGCCACTCAGAAGTTCCTAGGGCTTTTTGTTGATCTCAAACACAGGTTGGCTGAGTACAATCATCTGTCTGCCCCCGCCATGATTCCACCTGCTAATGAGGCATCTTCAGTTACTATATAAATGGCAGAAAAAATGATTTCTAAAGTTTTCACAGCAACTTGCTCTTGAAGGCAGGATGAAAAAAATTGTTGAATTTTTGTCTTCAAAGACACCCCTGTAAAGGTGCCTTCTGTTTCCCTACTCCCAAAATGCATTCTTACATAAAGTAGAAGGGGGTGGGGACAACCTTAGCTCTCAGGGCAGGCTGAGGATAGAGGAACCTGAAGTCAGTCCTGGACCAGCGGTGCTTACTCTGTATTATCAGCAGCAGCTAATAAACCAGTCATAGATAGCAGTTTAGAACTTAAATACATTTGTCACCAGAATCAAAGCATTTTAAACTGTGATGTAGTCTAGGTGAGTCCCTCCAGTTCAGAAACTTGAATTCAAAACAATTAAAGACCTTTTTTTGCCAAAGAAATGCCACATTCTCCCACTTTAAAGCCTCCAGGAAATGTGTCTAGAGTCTTCCTTTCTGCTCTTTTCTGTAAGTAAACACCTGGGGCTGAGGATGCCCTGGGAACATCAGGGAGGTCCACCAGAGGATTGTCACCCTGCACAATGCCTTTGGGCTCTGAGGCTACTTGAAAAGCAGGCGAGTACAACTGTTTACAAGCAGCATTTTGTAATTCTACAGAGTGTTAACTTAGTGACCTTTTCAAGGTATTCAAATTCAGCACAAGGAGGGCACCTGGGTCCCTATCAACTGTAGGTGCTTAATTCTAACCATGAACTGTGACTCAGGAGCACCAGCCTGGCCACACTCACCAGCCAGCAAGCAGGGGTATACACCCCACCCAGCTTCCAGGCCTGGCACTCACCTCAGTTCAGGTCTCCCTGGCTCAGGTCAGGCAGGTCCCTGCAACCTCTGGTTAGGGGTCTCTTTGGCCTTCTTGCAGTTGAACAGCCACTTTATGATGCGGGCGTTCCTTTCCACTACAGAAGTGGTACTGGGCACCTGCTCCGTAAGTTCCTCTTCTTGCAGCCCATCTTCGCTATGGTGAGAGAAGCCGCTATCGGAAGTGGCTACGCTCACACTGCGCACTTTGAGTGCAACATGGTCAGAAGCCGCGGAAAAGTTCTCCCTCCCTAGAGCCTCTACCACTTCAGGGTCCAGGCCGCAGAAATGGAAGAAACTGTCAACCTCAGCCCTGGCTACAGAGTAGCGGGAGCTGAGATCTGACTGAGAGCGTTGCAGTCCTCCTCGCCTGGACTTTCTCAGCTCTACACCAGTACTCGCAACCGGAACTTTGGGATCCACCTCCAAGAGCCCGGCTGGGGGTTTCGGTTCCACCGCAAGGACGGGAGAAGCTGGGCAAGCGGCTGCCCTCTGGCCCGGCTTGGTTGGAGCGGCCTCCGCCTCCGTGGCCTTGTGTTCACCTGGAACCCCCGGCGTCTCTGAGGCCGCTGGCACCTTCTCCTTGCCTGGGCCCTGGAAGAGCTTCTTCACCAGCCCTCCTCTGGCGCAGTCTGCGCCCGGCCCTCGGACGAACTCGCATTTCTGCCTGTAGATGACCAGCGAGTCCGGTCTCAGAGGCTTTCGTGCGATAGCCCGCCGTGCCACAGGAGCAGGGGCTAGAGTGGAAGGGACCGGGTTGCTGTGCTGGCCCCCAGGCGCCTCCTGGCAGCTGACCTCTGAATCAGAACCCCGGCCGGATGCCGGAGTGCTGCGAACGTACTTGGCACGGTCTGCCGCCAGCCTCTCCACTGCGCTTCTGCGGGCTGACCTGGCCATGAGATGGCCCTCCGATGCCTTGGGGTTCCCGCCAGGTGGCCGCGCGCTGGCGGGCGCATCCAGGACTGGCAGGGCGCGCATCCTTACGGGGCCCGGACCCGCGGAGCTGACGTCCAGTGAACACTCCAGTTCCGGCGCCAGTCAGTCCGAGACCAGGTCCGAAGTCCGCAAGGGGTGGGGAGACGCGCCCCGGGGCTCAAGCGCCCAGGCCCAGAGTTAGGGCGAGCTAGATTGGCTGAGGAAGGTGAATCACGCAGGCACCAGTTGGCTCCTCCTCTCCAGGACCCCAAGCCTCCCACGCCCGGAGTCCCGGCCCCAGGGCCTCCAGCAAAATGTCCGGCCCCTCAACTATCCGTTTCTCCGCCTCCTTTGCCTCCAGTCGGGTGTCGGTGTCCCCACACCTTGCCTCTTGTCTGCTGTCCCCGCCCCTTAGCCACCCGCCGGGAGTACTCCACGTCCTCACCTCCGGCCGCGTGTTTCCAACTCCCTTCCTAGCACTCAGGAGTTCCCTCCCAGCCTAGCTCCGGGAGGGTGGGGCACTCCCCCAATGACAAGGCTGGGAGGGACCTTGAGGGCTCAACACCTGGTTCTGAAGGCTTAACTTCCTGCTCCCAGGGCCCTTAAGGTCTTTTTGCTACTGGAGGTTCCAGGGACGGTAAGGATCAGAAAGAGGGAAGCTGCCCTCCCCCGCCCCACTTTCCCCAGCACCATCACAGTCCTTGTTCTTTGAATTCTTAGAGTAATCTCAGTCTGTTTGGAAACTTAGTTTCATTTCCGCAGTCTTTACCTAAGAACCCACTATTAGGAGGCAATAGGATATGAAAAAAAAAGAAAATATTTCCCATGTCAGGATTAGTCCAGGCTAAAAGAACTCAGAAATCGGCAAAGATCTGACTTAAATCCAAAAGCTACTCGCTGGTGCGCCTCACTGCTTTTGAGAAGAACCGGAACAATGGCAAGATTCAGTCCTGTTTACGGTAACCCAGGCACCCAGGCGATTAGGAAACTTTGGGTTTACCAGGCAGGGAAAATCAACCTAGGAATGCTGAAAGCTTAAAAAAATATTTTCAAGATTCCACCCTTTTAAAAAGTTGGATGGAAGGCTAAAAATATCTGCCAGATAAGTAAAATGTACACGTTATCTCTGTATGTGGAGGAAGGGCTTGCTGACCTTCCCAAGTTGCAGTTGAATGTTCTGGGCACACAACTGCTGGACTTAATCTGATTCTTTCTGGAAATAGGCCTTGAGTGGCAGTGGGCATGGCCAGTGTGTCCATTGAGCCACAGAGAAGAAGCATGTGCAGATCCTGATCAACTGAAAACCAGATAGCCTAATTGGAAATGGAATGCTCACACACAAAAAGAAGATATTCAATAGGTTTTTTTTTTGGGGGGGGGGTGTAGAGACAGAGGACACAGACAGGGGCTTAGCTTCTAAAAGGTGTGTGCTCTCTTTGAACCCTAGTGGGTTCAAAGTCTACCTTGCTCTCTGCCCACCAGGCTAGATACTAGACACCACACCTGGTGTCTAAGAGGAAATAAGCCTGATGACTGGTGGGAAGTGAATAATTATTGCTGCCTCAATAAAACAGCAGTTCTGAAAGAACTCTAAGCACTTATGCCCTGTGATGTGTATGAACCTGGGCCCACCAGTACTAGCCACATACTTTAGGAAAAGGTAGCCAACTTCTCAAGGACTCCTGTCATGTGCTAATCCTGGTTTTATAGTTTGCCAAGTCCATTCATCTTCAGAAAGACTGAGTGGAAGCTTAATCTGGGCTCTGCCTCCTTAAGAGGCTGGAACACTGAACTCCGTGCCTCTGGCTGTATATAGAACAGCTAACTGTCTCCAGTTAGTAAAATTGCTTACATAAAAGGCTTTGCATCTGGCACAGAGCAAATTTTTTTAATACATGTTAGTCATTTTTGTTTTGATAATGGTGGTTGAGTTACTCAACTGTTTCCCTTTTCATTATAGTTAATGAATTCATGTAAAAACTTGAACTTACAGGAAACAGTAACATCCTCTAAAGTTGTTTTTAACACACTCACACTTTTCTTTATCATTATAATTCACTGGAAAATTGGAGCTGGTTACACTGACAGGATTTTCTTCATAAATTATTCTTATTGCTCAACTGAGAGTGTCAACTTTGAGCCCATTTCCTTCCTGGTTTCCACCTGAAAGACTTGGTTCAGAGAAGGAAGTAAATGCTCTGATAATGCTCCCAGGGCATCCTCAGAGAGGTACTCACAGCAGCTGGACAGTCACTATAGACAAACAGCTGGATTCAGTATGCATGCAGAAGCAGGGAATAGGCCAGATAAGGCATGACCCATCATTAGTGGAATATTTTGCAACCATTTACAGTTATGCTTCCCTCAACCCTTAGATTCTGAGGCATTTCTCAGATTTAGAAATGGTCATGATGTAATAAAAAATTTTAAAGAGCAAATTTAGAAGCAATCCTTACCAAATGTCCTGGTATTCTCTGAGTTTTGGGATGCTTCAGGAGTATGTAAGGTAAATAAACTTTTTTGTAGTAACACCGAGTTAGTGTGTGTTTTCCATCTCTTATGAATGTCTAGAGTGACATTTATAAGTAATATGATTGAATATGTCAAAAACTCTAAGATGAGCTACATAGTGCTATTAAAATAAGAAACACTTCAATAAGATTATCTTTCATACGAATGCTGTATAAAACTCAGTAGTATTCACATACACTAACAGTAGCCAACTTGAAAATATAATAGGAAAAAAAAGAAATAAGAAAACACAAATGATATATGGTACTACACTCCTAATGCACATGAGACTTGCAGAACATTATACAATAATTTAAGAGTTATAGGTGAAGACCTAAAGACAGAGATCTGTCATGTTCATGGAAGGGAAGGCTTGGGCACTAACACAGTGGGCCTTAACACCCAGGATAGAGTATATAGGTTCCAGTGGGAGGGCTATTGGAGAGTGCTGGTGGGGACGGAGCTATAAAGATGATTCAGATTGTTTGAGATATTCTGTATGAAATACAACAAAATTTAATAAAAACAAATTTAAAAAATAGGAATTGGGCTGGAGAGATGGCTCAGCAGTTAAGAGCACTGACCACTGTTGCAGATGACCTGGGTTCAATTCCCATCACCCACATCATAGCTAACAACATCCATAACTCCAATTTGAGGGGGTCTGATGTCCACTTCTGACCTCAGGCATTGCACGACATGGGTGCACTTACACATGCAGAGGCAATACACTAATACACATAAAAAATAATAAAATAAAAATAGCAATTGTCTTTGAAATTTAAAAATAAAAACTGGGAGAAAAAAAAAAACAGAAAAACAGGGAGAGAGGAGGAGTGGGGATGGAGAGAAATTCAATACATACAGAGATAAAACCCTAATTGTTGTTCACAGAGCCTGAACAACTGCATGAATGAAAGGCTGCCTGGTCTGCACCACGGTATCAGCCAGCTCTCAGGGCATAAGCTATGGAACTTGGACCCACTAATTTATGATGTGGTATGTTATACCTCAAGGAATGGTATTTTTTATACATTGGGTTATATAAAATCATTACATTTTTTAATAGTACAGGTTGACAATAGTTAAGAAAATTTGAGGAGGAAGCTTTTTCAATAACATAGCCAAAACATAAGCTTAGAGTAGTAAATAGAGAGTGATAGTGTCAGTCAAGCAGTTAAAAATGTCTCCAATAAGATATGATTCATAGGGAGCAGTTAAATCAGTGGGTGTTACATCTTGAGTTTCTGTGTTGGAATCTTTTTTCTCCAGCACAGCTGGCCACGGCCTCACTGAAGCATGTGCATATAGGTAGGCCTCATGTTTATAGCAATGCCTTCCTGGGCTGGACCAAGTGGTCTGGCTTGATGCTCTGTCTTGCATGTACCACTGCCTTTCTGTTTCCCATTGTGAACTGAAGCACCTTAAGCCCTCACTAAGAAAAAAGATCCCATCATAGACTTCCCAGCCTCCAGAAACATGTGCCCAAATAAGCAAACATGAAACAAAGTCTACTGGACAAAAGCCTAATGTAAAAGACAGAACTGCATATCAAGAACACAATACTATTAAAAAATTTTGAGTTTTTTTTTTTTATGTCTTTTTGAAACAGGGTTTACCGGTAGTCCCAGGTAGCCTGGACTCACTATGTAGACCAGGCTGGCTTCCATCTCACAGAGATCCTCCTGTTCCATCTCATACCTCCTGGATTAAAGGTGTGCACCACCTAAATGAGTTCTTAAATGAGACATACATTTGTAATAATATAGATTTTGATACATTTAATCACACCACAACTAAAAACTTTAGGATCATGAATTGTGAACTGAGAAAGTAAGCCTCAGCCTGTGAAAAGACAGGCTCTGTGCACCTATGTGACAGACGTTAGAGTTCAGCTTCATATATCATCTTTAGAAACCATTTAGAAACCATATATATTGCAATAGTCATGTGTCAAGAGAAATAAATGGGAAATTCATGGGAGAGACGTTCCATATGACTAACATGTATACAAGAAGATAAACTTCATAATAATCATAGATCATTGAAACAGTGAGTAAATATTCCTCATATATCTGATTGACAAAGCTTTAGAAAAATCTGGCAATACTATTGATAAAATGTTGGAGAAGTATAAATGTATACTTGTTTGGAATGTAAATTGGTAATCACATTGGAGATATTACATGATATCTGGTAAATTCAAAGTTTAAAAATACTCTGCTCATCAATTCCTGTGTTGTGTATGCTCCCTCATTATATACATGTGGCCCAAGGGAAGGAAAAAAATGAAAAGAATGTTAATTATGTTGTATGTGTCCTACTGTCATTTACTCTTTTCATTGCTGGAAAAAAAAAAAAACCCTGAAACTTCATATTTTATAAAGAAAAGAAACTTATTTAGTTCACAGTTTGGGAGAATGAAAGTCCAAACAGCAAATAGCATGGCACTTGTTAGTTCACTCTCTGGCTTCTGCTTAGCTAGCTTTCTTTTGTGTTTTTATTTATCTTATGCATATGAATGTCTTGCTTGTCATATGTATGCAAGCTCACCCATGCCATACAATGCTCACAGAGGCCAGAAGAAGGCATTATAGTCCCTGGAACTACAGTTATAGATAGTTGTTAGCTGCTATGTAGATGCTGAGGAACTCAACCCAGGTCCTTTGCAAAAGCAGTCAATGCTCTTAACCAGTGAGCCATCTCTCCAGTCCCTTAACTAGCTTTCTTATACAGCTCAGACCTACTTGTCTAGGGATGGTACTGCCAATGGTGGGCTGGGCCCTTCCATGTTCATCATCAATCAAGGAAATTCCTCAACGATATGGACACAGAACAATCTGAGCTGGGTAACACCCCAAATGAGATTACCTTAAATGTTTCTGCGCTGTGTCAAATTGACAGCTGACACTAACTAGTACAGATGTGAAAGTCAGCGAATCATTAG